CCCCACAGCTCCTCCCCCTGCCGGCCGAGTTAGAGAAGAGAAGACAAAGAGAAGAGTGAGAGAGAGATAAGGAGAGAGATGTGGGTCCCACGCTGACTCAGCCGCCACGTAGGACAAAACCGGGTCAAAACCACCGAAGGACCTATTGTGATCGGTTTTGATTAGTTAAGGGACGGCGGATATCTGGTTTTACGGTTGGGGGACAATTTTGTAACTCGATGACAAGTTGAGGGACCTTTCGTGTACTTTTTCCCATGTAAATTGAAATCCACGGCATAAGTCAACTTACCATCCCTCATCTATGCGTCGAGTTCAATTGACATCCCTAAACCATAATACCGAAAATCTTTATCCCCCATCTTAAAAAAATCATTCAAGTCGGATCCAACATAAGTTGATAGCTGATTTCGCTGACGTGGCATCCTTGTGGTGGAGTGGGGCCACGGTGTGTCGAACAAATCCATATATTTTTTTTTCTTTTTCTTGATTAGGATACTGCGTCAATGAAATCAGCTATCTATAGTGCTACAGGATCTAACTTCGATGATTTTGTTAAGATAGGGGATGAAGATTTCAGATATTATGGTATAGGGATATCAATTAAAGCCGACGAAAAGATAAGGGAAGGTAAGTGAACGTACTACTACTTAACTGCACCGTTCTTGGGCCGCACGAAATTGACACCCCGTTTTCGGCCCAAGTGATTAATACGGGCGTCCCGGCACAAAACGTTAAGTCGAATCCCGTTTCGGCCCAATAAACGTGCATTGCATTTGCATGGGCCGTTTCTAGCACGCACACCATCGATCTCTCGCCGTCGCCTTCCCCGTCTGCGACGGCGAACTCCCGGCCGCGAGGTGCGACGCCGGCGTGCCCCTGCCCAGCAGCGAGTGCACCGCCGCCTTGGACGCGCAGTTCGCCGGCCACGATGCGGCTGCGACGTTCACCTCGTGCCCTGCCGGCTGCGCGGCCGATAGCTAGGTGCCCTGTGCCAACGCGACCAGCTAGCTGTGATCGGAGATCTCGCCAATTTCGCCATGATCCAAAGCTCCCTCATGCTCATGCGTCGTCGTCGCCGCTGCCGGCCACCTTCAGCTCCAGCTTCCAATAACCTCTTCCTCCATTAATTAAGCAATTAAGCACGGGATAATGGGCTAGCTACTAGCTAGCAAGCTGATCCGATCCAATCAAATATCTGATTAATTAATTAATTACTACTCGATTCACAAATGGATATTCGTAAAGATTCTTGCTGGATTCTCACAGTAGTACTAGTAGATGACTGTGGAACGGTGTGCTCGCATGCGATCAGAACAAGGGTATGCATGCATGAATCATGATGAATTCATGACGATCGTGCATTATGATTAACTGCCAGCGTGCATTAGGGTTAGGACTGAGATTATTTAGCTATAAAATCAACTTGTACAAACTTAATTACTACTACTACTACTGAATTAATTATACCTCAAAGTTGCCAGCTTTAGGGGTTAGCTATGGGCGGTTCAATGGGAGGCTGGATACTGTATTCTTCTCTTCGGGTGCAGTGTGATAGTATCAATTTAAGAAGAACCAGTTGATTACGCTAGCTAAGCTAGCTCACCGCTGTTTCACTTCTTAATTAATTAATTACAATTAACACGCTGACCCCTCTGCAAGAAACGGCGACGAAACTAGCATATTACTCCCTCCGTTTCGAAATATTTGACACCGTTGACTTTTTATCACATGTTTGACCGTTCGTCTTATTAAAAAAAATTAAGTAATTATTAATTCTTTTTCTATCATTTGATTCATTGTTAAATATATTTTTATGTAGGCATATAATTTTAGATATCTCACAAAAGTTTTTGAATAAGACAAACGGTTAAACATGTGCTAAAAAGTCAATGGTGTTAAACATTTCGAAACGGAGGGAGTATGTTTCAGTACGTATGTTCTGCACGTATCTGATTTAGTTTCCAATAGTTTTGACTTTTGAGTACTGACAGTATCAAATTAAATATTTAAGCAGATTTCTAATCACACGGTTTTGAGCACTTAAACATATGATGGCCAGATGCATGCATTCAGATTCACCAAAGCACCTAGCTAGCGAGAGTATATATGTGGTTATGTATGTTTATCTGAAAATCTACGTGCTAAGAACACTGATTCTATAGGCTGATGCATGATTGCATCTAATTAAGTGCATATCAATAAGCTTCTTGGTGGTCTAAGTACGTTCCCTTTGCTTCATCAATAATTATACGCATGCATATCATATATCATTGCTTGCTCTCTGATGTGAGCACGATCATTTTCATAAGAGCAACTTGTTCTTGTACTGCAATAACCAAGAACACATCAGACATGGGATTAAATAGGGTTTAGTTTCTCTGTCTCTGCGTGTGATGCTGACTTAGCAAATTAAGCTTAGCTAGCAACCACAGCTGCTGCAGTTTTCCTCATATACATGCCGTGTGGATGATACTACTAGCTAGTCTAGAATATGTACATGTATAGTACAAACTATATTAGTATATAGCAAGAGAGTTTCATTGGAATTTTGCTTCTGAATTAACACCTTTGTTTAGCAAGAGGTGATTATACACACGAGAACCACCACTGTTTAAATATAATTGCAGGCTGAAGATTCGCTCTAGTAGTGCTCCTGATTGGAGGTGAATGACACAGAATCGCTGCTTTGATAAATAGATCAAGTTTAATTTGCTACATCATGAAATTAACTAATTAAGGATGCTAGCTAGCTTTGCGTATGTCATGAGATGTGCTCATCTTACCTCAATCATCAATCATCACATATATCCGATTTATATGTAAACACCCTTTTACAACACAGGCAGCTATTATACATATACGCAGATGAAAAAAAAAAGTGTTTTTATATACCATATTTTATAGTGTAAAATTTAGTATATCTCAGTATCTCAAGTATTATGAGGTATTGAATTTTATCCTAAAAATTTTGGTACTTCTTAGACACTTTCAAGTACCGTAAAATTTCAACAAGAACAATAACTACAAGGTGGGGAATTAAGTAAATCTCCGATCCTACCTAATTTCCCTAATTGACAGGTCAGGATTTTTTTTCTGAAGAAAGACAGTTCAGGTTTTAGACAAACTGAATGAATAAATTATATATATATAGGACACTCATATTGGGCACCATGGTATCAAATACACAAAATCACTCAAAATTTTCAAAATTTTCAAATTGTGAGTATATACCGAGTTATAATAACTCGATTCATACCTATACCTATCAACAAAACAACTCAAATTTAACTTTATTTCACAATCCATGATTACATACCTAACTAATTATATGTATGGATGCTATATACCTAGAATCAAAATCTAACAAAAACAAGTTCAAATTCAGTTCAAACTTGCTTTGAACTAGTTAGTAAAGTAGCTAATGTTAATATCTAAGTAATTGAAAAAGTTTCATACCCATTTGAATTAGGTATATACTCAATTTCAACAATGGTGCCCGGGCACCATGGAGCACCAAACAAATTTATATATATATATATATATATATATATATATATATATATATATGCAATTAAATACGTCCATGGTTGAGAATGTCGTCATTGTTTGATACCATCGGCGAGTAGCAGCGTATATGCAGTTGTGTCATCGATCGATCCATGAATCTTCAACGCAGAAGGCGGCTCACAAGTTGCACATTTTTATAAAAGCAAAACCATTTTGTTTTTTGTTACAGTCCTAATCGCCACATAAGCCAGTTGCTGTACTATTGAATTGATGAAGCTGTGCAAAAGTTTAACTTAACCATAAGAGCAGCTACAAGTCCGCAACTGCTGCGCCTGCAAAGTGACGACCTAACTGCCAGTCTGCTAGCTAGCTTGTGTGATTGCCTCACCTGAGCTCAATTTGGTGATAAAGAAAATTGCCATTCTGCCGTCCAATACACTGACACCACATGTAATGTCCTTGATCCAATCTTTTATTTCTGCTTGACAAAATTGTATATATGTATAAGTACTGATCGATGAGCAGTTTATAGAAAGATCAGTTTAGAGATGAATCTATAAGCTAGTTTATGCATTGACTCATTGCTATATTCTGTTCCTGTCTAGGTTCAGAGAAAAAAGATTGAGCTTTTACTTGGATTCACACGTACATGTACCAACAATTAATTTCTTTTTTTTTTGGGAAGTGTATACTCCTGTTGCTCAACAGAAGGATAGAGAACGACGTGATCTCTATTTATTAGGGCCATGCAATTACAGGGTCAAAAATATGTTTTTTTCAAGTGCAGTGCGTGGGGAGCTATCTAGCTATGGTAATCTCCGTTAAATTGTTGACAAAAAATCTACATGGATCCAATTTCAGTTAGCGAGAAGAGATTTACTCTGGTCCAACAAAAGGTATCTCGAGGTACCGGTACCTCATGGTACCAAATCGTTTCCGATCGTTGGATCTAGCTAGGTAGGATGGATATTGTTATATTCAATGATTAGAAATGATTTGGTACCGTGAGGTACCGGTACCTCAAGGTACTTTTTGTTGGACCGGAGCAAATCTCTACTGAGAAATATGCAATATGGGGTAGGTGGATCACTACTTCAACTCTACAAGTAGGGGAAAGTCATATTGACTCTCAAGGGGACGTCCCCTCATTTCTTATATATCACTTAAATGGTTATAATTTTCTTTATGAAACTGACAAGATAGATATTAATATGTGATATATTACTCCCTGTAATTAGAGTTTCTTTGTTGACAACAACAAATATACTATTACAGGGATAGCAAAGTAATGTAGACTTTTTTTTTTTGGCATCAGCAAACTATTCTTATATGTAGATATGAATATCTCGGGTGGTGACGTCAAGTATCGAAAATTCTTGCCACTTGGCATTGTACTTAGAATCTATCCATATAATTACTCGCTATGTAAATCACCTTGGACAAGAATATACTACTAATATAGAATCAAGGGTCAACATGGAGTGAGTAGCAACTGAAAACCACAAGCTCTATACTTAATTTACTCAATTCAGATAATTACATTAATCCATTTGATCAAAGGGTTTTGATCACAAATCCAGGAAATCATCAGGAGGTGAATATTATCTCATGTAATCCTCCAGATTAACCCCAAAGCACAGCATCTGATCATTGGCACCCAAAACGTGTGCCATGCTCTGTTGTATTAGGAACTAATATATTCTACCGCTACAAAATGTGGATTTCTCAACAAGAAGAAGAAGAAATGAAAAGAAAAAGAAAAGGTAAAAGAGAAATTGCACCAAGATTAATCGGTGCATATAAGTATTGTAGTATCCGGCAAAAATCCGGCAAAGAGAGCTAGTAGCCGACGCAGTCAACGGCCATGGCTCCGGTATCCAAGAACTGGTGGAACGTGATGCCGGCGCCGGCGGCATTGTGGCCGCACTCGGCGTCGTCGTCGCCGGCGTCGTCGCAGGGTGGATGGTTCAGGTCGAGCCACAGGCCGCCGCGCTTGATGCCGCCGTCGTCGTCGTGGCCGTGGACGTGGACGTCGACGACGTCGGGCTTCTTGTCGACGACGATCGCCCGCGGCATGCCGCCGGTCATGGCGCGGTGGCGCCTCATGTGGCCGCCGAGAGCCTGGCCAATGGCGAACTCGAGGCCGCAGATGGAGCAGCCGTGGAGCTTGGGCTTGGACAGGGAGAGGTCGCCGTCGCCGTCGAGCCTCGGCTTCTTGTGGCTGGCACGGTGGCCGCCGAGCGCCTGGAACGACGGGAACACGCGGTTGCACGTCTTGCAGACGAACGCGCGCTCCGGGGCGCGGTCGCCGCGCGCGGCGGCGAGCGGCAGCTGCACCGGCACCGGCAGAGCCAGCGCCTGCTCCTGCTGCCCGTGCGACGACATGAGCATCAGCACGCGCGCCATATCGCTGTCCTCGAATGCAAACCTCTTCATGATCTGAATGAATGCTTTACTTACTGAAACTTTGTGAACCAACCTCTCTGTTGTCTGAAGACTGAAGCTGATCGAAATCTGAAGCAAGCTTGAGATGTATGACTCTCCAATGGAGAAGAAGCACACCCAGGAGGAGTATTTATAGGCTGGATATCATCTCAGCTCACTGTGATAAATGCAACATAAACTAATTGACCAATGGCAGTAGTAGTAACCAGTTGGTGATTAAACAAAGCACAAGTTGGCTTTATGAGAAGCCAAGAACCAGTTTACCTTTTGCTTTTTATTACTAATCTGTTGCAAGAAAGAGTCACTACTCTGTGAGAGGAATACTAATAACTATATTATTCTACATTGATTCGATCATGAATTGTAAGAGCTAGCTATAGCTAGCAATGCATGATGCATCTGCTGTTGGTGAGGATGATTGGAATTGGAGAAGCAGGAGACCGTAGACGGCGTCGAGTTTTCGCCGTGCCGACAGCTGTTGCTTGGATCGATGCAAGCGTCGGAATGACCTTGGGATCGGACACTTTTGTTTTGGGTCATTTCAGACACGGTGTCAGTGCCTCGTTGACTTGATTTATGCGTCCCTTGGTTCATGGAGAAACAAAATTCTGAATCTCACTCACTCAGTCTGCTGCTGACCTTGTTCATGCATGCGTGCAGTTCATCTCATCAGTGTCTGTACTTTGTAGATTCTGGGTCAACTCATTCTTTTCTTGAAAGAAAAAAGAAAGTTTGAGATCAAGTAGGAATCACATGTGAGTTTCAATATTTTCACTACAAATGTAGAATCTTCATAAAGCATGGTAAACTGACAAGAAGATAACAGCAACACCATTTCAGAAAACAAAACATATGACAATATGACAAGAAACAGATTGTAGCACAAGCTGAGAGTAGTAGTACACTACCACTAGACTAAATATATGTAGATCATTGAAGAAAATGTAGATAATGGCATAATGCTACATGTAGTACTTTGTTTGTTACTATGAGGATATCTTCTTTTTTTCATCCACTGGAATATATGATGTCCCATTGGACTAGTTGCAGTACTGTAGAGCTTACCTTCTGACAGTTCAGTTTGGTTAGATTTTTTTTTTTCTGTTCGTACTATATGTTTAGTGTTAATCAGGACCGTACTTACTTCTGAATACCTTGCAAGGACCGGAGATAAACTCGTTTGATTATGCCTAGACATATGCTGCTGAATCTTGGAACGACAACTGTACATCTTCCAAACGATGATCACCTGCTTGCTTGATGAGTGATTTTTTTTTAGACAATGTTGATTGATGAATGATGAGCTCATGAAACGTCTCATGGCTAATCCAAATGGCACATGGAACAGTATCTTGCACCTAATACTAACTTTTGCACTCACTCACTGTGCATGCTGTTGCTGCTGACAGTATCAGAAACGACTCTTCCTTATTTGCATCTGAGTGAAACTTCGTCAGCACGAACAGCCATCTTAAACAAAAATCCAGTAGTGGCAAATGAGGCTGAAACTCGACGAAGACAATTGTACCAGTTCAATAAGAGAAATTATTCCTGTTAAAATAAGCAGTTCCTGACTATAATTGGTTCTTGAATAGTTGGATTGCTTGCATTGGCACCGCACTTGTCTATTGGACTGAACTGATCAATTATTGCTGCTTGATGTAAGCAGAAAAGGAAGTTGGGGGCAAAGTTATTGTGTTGTTTACTTCTGCTTTCTGTAACTTGCATTCCGAACTAGTGCTTTGCTGTTTTGATGGATTATTATGATCTAAGAGTTTATGCCTTCTGCAATTGTTCCACACAATGTCAGTGTTTGATGGGGATCAAATGGAATCTTGCCTCTGTTCTGTTGACATTTACAGGGAAGAAATGTAGACAGGAGAGAATATTAGGTCAATAACCTGGCTAATTTGATCAAACTCCATGTGTATGTCTGACTGCAACTCTGAACTCTGCAAGAAGTATGACTGAATCCTAGATTAAAAATGTCTCTGGCAAGTAAGTACTTCTGAGACTTGGACATTCAGAAAAGTACTAACTAATTACAGAAAGATCAGAAAAAAAAAAGCTTCATCTGTTTGCTGCATCTCATCATGTTGGCAGCACATACAAGGAGCACAAACAATTTGCAAAGGCCAGTTGGCAAAGGTGGTCCTTTGTGAATCCTGAAGCAACATAATCCTTTTCCTTTCTGTTCGCGGCGATACGATCAAGCCAATATAGAAAAACAGGAGGAACAACTGTTCAGTCAGTTGCTCTAAAAGATTCATGGAGCTTTGTGTGCACAGCATGATGTCCTTTTGCCAGAGACACAGATGAGCAATTTGCAGTTTCTTGCCAAGAAGCTACTGTTCAGCAACTGCAGATGATTGGTAGCTTGAATTGGGAGTTCAACTTGTCCCTGCAACTTCTTCTCATTGGTGCAGCAACCCTAATCAGTATGAACTTGTCAGAGGAGACAAGCCATGAACATGACTCATTGCATGATTATAATTTATAAGTAGACTTTGTGTCACTTTCACTCCGACGCTGCATCTTGTGTTGCGCCTGCCGTTCTCCGCATAAAAGATCCAAAATAGAAGTTTGCCTTCATTGTTTGCCTGGAGATTCAGCAACAGTTGCATCAGGAATCTCAAAAACTTGCCATCATGTCAAACTTGTCCTAAGTTGTTTATCTTTTGCTGCCCAATACTCAGTTCTTGCTTCTATTGACTTACTTGCTAGTTATTTATGCGTGTTTCTTGCTACTACAGTATCAAAGCGCAAATCTGATTCCTTGTGCAGCTATTTCTTTTTTCACTTCGTGAAGCATGCTGAGCACAACTTATCTTTAAATTACACATTATAGAAGCAATTAACACTACATCAAACATGTTAACCATGATTTCCGAAGGAGAAAAATATCCCTGAGAGATGGTAAGAAACTGCCAACCTGTTTCGGTTTTCTGCATCTTCTTTCTGAATATCATAGTTTGTATCTGCATAGCCGGTGTGCCGTCCACCGAATGAGCAGGAGAATCTTTCAGGGAACACTCTACTTTAGCTACTGCTGATTCAAAAGTTTATCTAGTGACATGATTATCATATTAATTTGGATCTTCCGTCACGGTGTTGAAACTGCGATTTCAGTTTTCCAAAAGGCAGTATATTCTTTGGTGATTCAGGGGGCAGATTATGCATAATCATGCTGCTTAAGAGCCAGCATCTATATGTCTTAATTTTATATAAGGAGAGAAGGAGATGATAAACCAGGACAGCTACTCCGGAATTTCTAGAAACTTAGCCGTTGATTTTCAGATACCTCGAAAAATTAAGAACTACACTGAAAACACAAATCCTGTAATCGTTGACACTGGTTATGATTTTTGCTTTGCTTGTCATGTTCTATCCACTTCTTTCTTGTGGTGCGGTTCTAGGTTGCTCCAAATATAAAAGAAGAATGGAATAAAAATTCTAAAGCAATTGTGAATACTGTAATTTAATGGTGCTAGTAGAGCATAGTGCTGTGACGCTGCTACCCATCAACGCAATAAACAGCTTTGTGATCCGTTGGAAATATCTGATTACTACTAACCACAATTGTAATGGAGAGCAAAGATCAACAAGTTGATCATTACGAGACTACTACATGACTCTAGTGAGCCATGACGGAAGCATCAGTATTCAGTATCACTACCTGAAAATCTTGCAGCTGGATGATCTTCTTTCTGAAAATTTTGCAGGTTCGATCTTGACATGGAAACCCCTCTTCTCTGTATAGAAAACACTGAAAAAATGTCACTGCAGCAGGTTTAGAGTCATTAGTTCATGACAAGAGCATGAAGAAACTGTGTGATCATTTAGCAATTTTGTTTCCTCCTAACCATAATTAAACAACCTGTACAAATGTAGCTGTCACACACAGGTCACAAAATGGATGAAGCAAACCTGCTTTTGAGAAAGAGTTAAGTCGCTGTCAGAGGAAAGAACACGAACGGGTTGCTGCGTTCCGTGATGGAACTCACCAGTAGTGCAGTTGGGATCTCCGGAGTTAATCAGCTTGCTTCTGCAACTAGCTTTGCTCTGCAGTTGTGTATTTGTTCACGAACCTCTGAAAATTTTTAGGGTTTTGGTCGCCTTCTCCACGTAGGTCGCCACCACTGTGACGCAGCCAGCTCTGGTGACTGATGAATCTTTAATGAATTCAGCATCTGGATGGCTCTCAGAATCAGTAGCAGATAAAAATGAATCCAAAGTGCAGTAGCAGCAGTGATGCAGGATGTCAGCACACAAACAGCTAGTGCTGATCGAATCAGACTGGGAGTGAGTTGGGCACAAGATGTTACTACAGTATCTTACTAGCATTTTAGCAGGATGCATCTTGAGAATCATAATGATACTGTAGTTTATTACTCCAAAAATTCCTATTATTCTAGTGTTAATTATTGGGCAGCACTAGTAAATTTGCTGTGCTGACATGGACATCTGATTATAATAGAGCACTTGGGGCTGGACTGCATGGCCTGGGCTGAGTACATGAACAGGCTCCATCTCTAATTAATTTCATTTCTCTGTGACATATTTTCCCAACTTGCACAATTGACAAAAAAAAGAGATAATTATTGGTACAAAGCTCAGATCAGAAAGATATAGAGGTCATAGATTGAATAATGATTGATTCATTGCCTGCTCTATGATATCAGGAATCAGGATGCAGTCATATTTTGACAAAGGTAAAAGAAATATAAGTGTCTATTGCACACTAGATTGCCTACAAAAATTTCTCTGAATCAAATTCTTTATCCCTTCCATGAATATAACTCGTGTCCAGTGAAGGACACTTCTAGTGCTACAAAAATCCAAAACAGTAACACAACCATTCGATCAGGTAGTTTTGTTTGGGCATTCCGACGCGAGATGGCCAGCGATGCCACATTCATAACATGTCCGCCTCTTCTTTTTCTTCGCAGGCACAGGGTTTGTGTCATCACTAGCCTTATTTCCATCTGAAGTGGCTGAAGGTATAGTACTTGAGCCACCATAAGATTTCTCCATGTCAGAATTGACTGCAGCAACTTTGTTGGGGCAAGCTGATGAGAGATGACCAGGAATGCCGCATTCATAGCATTTCCGCCTCTTCTTGGAGGGAGCTGAATTTGATTCTTCACCTATTTTATTATCCTCGGGAGTGATAGATGGTGCAGACTTTGTCTCATCATCAGGCCCCTTGTCACTAGAAACAGCATCGCCGGCCTTCTTGTTTGGGCAAGCCGATGAGAGATGGCCAGGAATGCCACATTCATAGCATGTCCGCCTTTTCTTTGACGATGCTGTGACTGAGTCAACATTAGCCTTCTTTTCATCAGAAATGGCTTCAGAAGCCTTCTTATTAGGGCAAGAAGAAGAGATATGACCAGGCGTGCCACATTCATAACAAATCCGTATCTTATTATTTGATGAATCTGGATTTGCATTGCCATTGAGCTTCTGATTGTCCTTCTTGGGGACAGCACATCTAATTCTGACTGGCCGCCCCTTAATCACCTTCTGATCAAGCTTCATTGCAACAGCAACAGATGTACCCTCAGAAAAATCCACATGCACATAGCCTTTGAAATCACCTGTCTCCTTGTCTGTTCCGAATCGGATGGATGAGATTTTGCAATCAGAAAAGAACTTCTTCAAGTCATCCTCTGTTATGTCCCATGCCAGGTTTCCAACATAAACCCTATTGTATCCCTCTATCATCTTTGGTGCAAAATCTTCCTTTTCACGGACAGATTTGTATGGTTGAATTTTCAAAAAAAATCCTCCCCTGTGTAGTCAACAAGAAGGTTATCGCTTATGGTGAAAACAAAAAAGGAAGAAGTAAAGTTCAGAAGCAGATGTGCTTACATATCTGCACCATCAAGAGCCAATGCCCTTTGTGCGGCAGCATCAGTCTGAACAAGAAAAATCGGTCAGGTTTAAATTACCGTTTAAGGAAAAATGGCAAAAAGCATGTTGCCACAGCCAACAAGCCATGTGCATGATTGGCAGTAGTAACAGATTAAAGGAGCACCCAGTGCTTGCATCTAGATGGTTTTGATCCATTGTATGAAATTAAACCAAGCGGCAAACTTGGTCAAAACAATACTATGAGGTGACAACGAGATGCATTGTTACCATATTAGTTACTACAAGACCACAGAGAGGAATTTCTTACATTATTCTGAAACTAAATCATTAATTTCTACAAGACTATAACAGTGCTGAAAACAAGCGAGACTGCATTGGAATGTAGTTAGTTGAAGCAAACTCTTCCAGTACCATCAAAACTATGCACATTCAGACATTTACTGGATCAACAATTATCTTAAGTTATCCGTTAAATTTGTGAGTTGACATCCTTCCTAGAACATAAACAATGGGCTAAAAGGAAGCAAACAAGGTTTTGAGGCTGACCTTAAACGTGAGAATGGCAATGCCCCTGAATTTCCCGCTCTCGGGAAATGTCATGCAATCCACTGATGTGATGCTGCCACATGCTTCAAAGAAACTTCTTATGTCATCCTCGGAGGAATAGTATGGGATGCCCCCAACATACACCTTCTTCGCATTTTTCTCGCTGAAACAAGAATGCAATACCATTACAGAGCTAATCTCAATAAGTCCGACAGACAGCAAGCAGTTAAATAGCTCCATCGCACTTCTTATCAATTCGATGAAGATTCCGCTACAAAGAAACCACCTTTCTAAACTCCAAAGCAATCATTTTACAGCTCCATGTCAGAGTTAAAAAATGGTTGGGCTTCTTAAAGAATATACTTTTATAAACAGACTTGTTTGATCATAACCAACCCAAACGGTCACATAATTTATTCTGAATTGTGGAACAACCTATACTTCAAGCCATGACAAATCAAAATAATGGTAATCTAGGAACAACCACTAGATTTTTACATTGCCTATTAGACCATTTCTACGCAAACAACCACAGCAAATCAGCATGTCATGCTATATTTTCACAAAAACAATTTATTATTAATAACTGTAATTAACACCACTCCTATTAGACTGTTTGCATGCTCACATTCACATCAGACCGACATGCGCTATGCTATTTTCTCTTATCTTTTGACAAGAACGGCATCTCACCATCAATACCAATCGCCATGACATACAAGCGGCAATACAAACAATGAATTGGAATACGAAAAGGACACAATCTTTTGAAGCACCGATTACTCACCTCTCCTCCGACAAGACGGGATCGTCAGATCCAACTGCATGGTCAGCTACTTGCAGCTGCTTCTGGTTCTTCACCTTGGGCTCCGACTTGGGCTTGCGTTTCTCAACCACCTTGGCCGGAACTTGCTCCTCCGCCGCCGCCTCTTCCTCACCCTCCGTTTCCGCCTCATGTTCCTCCTCCTCCTCCTCCGCCGCCGCCTCACCCACTTCGCCCGCCGCCTCCGTCTCCATCAACCTCCTAATCCGCCTCTTCTCCTTCTTCACCTTCCTCCTCTCCTCCCTCCTCAGCTCCACCTCCCTCCTGAACTGCTCCTCCCTCTTCAGCTTCCGCCTCTCCACTGCCTCCATCGGAGTCATCACCTTCTTGGGTCGCTTCGGCCGGACCCGCTTGGACCTGGACGAGGAGACGACCCCCTCCTCCGCCTCCACCTCCCCCTCGGCATCTCCTCCGGGATTCAGGACGACCTCGCGGAGCTTCTGCTTGAGCTTCTTGCGCGCGAGCACCATGGCTGCTGCTCTGCGGCGGCGGCGGCTGCGAGGTTTTTCTCTCTCTTCCTCTCGGGGAAGAAGAAGGGTTTCTAATGGGCCGGGCCTCACGCGGCCCATAACAATTGGGCCCATTTAAGTTGGGCCGGATGATATTTTGGCCCATTTAATTGGGTCCAGTGGGTGAAGTGTACCAAGCCGAGGTGGGAGAGGCAAAACCCTAGCGCGGGTGGAGGCGATGGCCGGGAAGGCGGCGACGGCGACGGCGGCGGAGGCGGCGGCGAGGGTTTACCCGTGGAGGGAGAAGCTTGCAAAGTACAAGGGGGAGCTGACGAAGGGGGTGTGGGGGTACTGGGAGCTCGGGGCATGGAAGCCGCTCGGCCTCAGCGCCCGGAAGCGGGCGCGCCTCAGGAAGGAGGTCCTCCTCGCCGGCGAGGACTGGACCTACGACCCTCCCCGCGGCGAGATGCGCACCAAGCGGAAGGGCCACAAGTGCGACCGCATCTCCGCCGAGAAGTACGCGCGCGCATCCCCTGGATCCCTCCTCCTTTTCGATTGCTTGAATTTGTTGCCCCGTGGCTTGATTTGTTTTGTTGTTTTGATCCCGTGGTTTTCCAGGCGTGCGAACACGGTTGAGCTGATGAAGAAGATGCCCCAGATGCTCCTTGACTACAAGGTTTGATTCCTCATCTTGCCTGTTCTTTTCCATTCTCCACGCTTTGCATTGGTATTACTAATCTTCGTATATTGTAGTATGCATTTCCGAGCTCATTATCATGTCTAGCTATGCATTTGCATGGCTCCAGTTTAGGTGTATTGTTTTATCTGCCAATGTTAACATTTGGCTGCGGTATTTTGCATAATCTTTTCTATTTGTCTATAGATGGCGCAGTATCTCAGTGTCAGTCTTGATCGTATTACTACAAAGTACAAATTCATTCCTTTGGGTTCTTTTATCTAGTATAGTCTTATATATGAGCTGTGGAGAAAAACATGGAGTTTCATAGTTCACTAATTCTGATACATATTTGAGAACCTGTCATGTCACTCATGTCTGGCTTGTCTAACATAAGGGCCTATTTTTCCTGCCTTTTGATCCTTAATTTCTTGTATAACACATGATGATGTTGCTTATATGTTATACCCTATATTGAGAAGATGCTAGGACTTGTTTGCCTTGTATCAGGGCCTGTTTGGCCTAGCTGGATTTCTTAATTTGTCTTATATGCACAAGTTGTTCAGTTCTAATTTAGGCCCTCTCTTACACCTTGTAAAAGAAAATCTAGAGATTGTTTTGCAATATACTTTGGTTCTGTAGCTAGCTTGTATTACTGGCATAATGAAATTCAGAGAGTGTTAGTATTTGTGCCTAATCAGTTGCAAGCATAATCATAAGAAGCTGCGCCTATCAACCTTGTAACGTAAAAACCCATCTACTTAAAGCCCAAAAAAGCCCCTTCAACTAAACATGAGGCATCTAGGTACAGTTTGTGGCATAGTTCAGGTCCTTGATACCTAGCTTATCATTCAGATCAGCATAGTTCCCGTACCTAAGTTAAACATAAGCTTTCTTCTCCAAGTATAAAAAACTGAATTCGGATCAGCTTAGTTCTAATACCTAAGCTAAGCATAAGTCCATATCCAGATAAAAAAAAATCAGCTGCTGGGAGTGGCTTTGTGGTCTTGTAAATTTATTATTGTTGATGCTATCGGACTTGAATAAGCCCAATTAGGCTGTGTTCGGACAGCCTGGTTCCCAACTTTAACAGTGCACACGGCAAACAGAGCGGTCCATTAGCGCGTGATTAATTAAGTATTAGCTATTTTTTTAAAAAAATGGATTGATTTGATTTTTTAAGCAATTTTCGTATAGAAACTTTTTGCAAAAAACGCACCGTTTAGCAGTTTGCAAAGCGTGCGCGCGGAAAACGAGGGAGAGGGGTTGGGAAGAAGGGGTGCCGAACACAGCCTTAGCAAGCTTATGAGATTAGCATAGATGTTTCCAAGTAGTCCACTTGAGGTCTGAGTCCTTGTATGGATGGGCTAAGAATTTGAACTTTCATTCTGGTCCATTGATTTCTTTACAATTGCCTGTCTCTATTTGCCTTTTCATCCATAAACTACCAATGGGTTAATTTAGGTATTCTTGCTTTCCAATTCCAAAATAAGGCCACTAGTTTTAGTCAAAATGATTTCAAGCTGGTATTCTCAAGACTAAGTACAGTGATGCTTATGCTAGCGTCAGTTAATTGAATACTCCCTCCGTCTCATTTTAAGTGCAGTTGTGGGTTTCCGTGTCCAATGTTTGTCATCCGTCTTATTTGAAAAACTTATGAAAAAATTAAAAAAAAGTGACACATAAAGTACTATTCATGTTTTATCATCTAATAACAATAAAAATACTATTCATAAAAAAATTTCAAATAAGACGTACAGTCAAACGTTGGACATAGAAACCCACAACTGCACTTAAAATGGGGCGGAGGGAGTATTACTGTAATATGCCTTGGCAAAAATATTGAATATCTAACTGGCTGTTCTTTGCTCTTGTGTACTTGATTTTTTTGTTTCTTCAGAAACGTAGATGGGAGAAAAAGATGAAAGAGGAGGAGAGTGGAAAGAGCTGAGCTCAAGCTACTCGATAAGAATGCTGCTCTGCCTAAATAAGTTTGAATCTGATATAGTGGCTTCAAATGATGGCTGGAGGTGATCTGTTTCTTTCCCTTGTTGGCCACCAGCTTTCCTGCTGCCTAAGGCACTTTGTAGTGCTGATATTTGATTGCTTCTATAGTTCCCAACACTTGGGTCAATGAATCATGATCTTACCCAGGCTCAACTTCAATTGAACTGACTTCTTTCTTGTTATGGATCAACTATGATAGCACTTCTGTTGAATTTGTTCATCATGTATCATATTCACACCATTTGGTGACTGTTTCGTTAGGGAAGATGATGTTTCCTGCTGTGATGATCTCAGCCGATACTTCTAGTGTCAAGAATTAGTCTCCTTTGCTGCCCATGAATGACTCATGAATCGCGGCGACTTCAGATAAAACATGTAGTTTCCAGAACCCAGTAGTGAGTGTGCTGCCCAGTTGCTCCCATGTCATTCCCCCACAACTACTATTCTGCCCATTACCTTTGCATCGTCAAGTTGCACTGCCTCCTCCAATGCTGGCAATTTTTTTGTTTGACCTTTGGCCTGTACTGCTAGATCTGTAGCTCCCTTTGGATGTGTTGTGCTGGCACAGGAAAGCAAATGACATGCGTGTACATGAGACGGCACGTTTTTGGCAGATGGAAAGGCAAAGCAAGGGTACCTGTGCAAGTGGCAATGGCACCCAGCATTTCTCTGCTACTACTGCTGGTAGCCTATCTATCTATCCATCCATCTTCTTGGCCTGGCTTTCCAGGGACCAAAAGGTCAGCTATCCCCATGCACGCACGCATGGCCGGGACATGATCCTCCGTCCAGCTCGAATTTGTTCTATTTCCTGTGAAATTCTTGCGTTTGTTCATCCGTAGGCTTAAGTTCTGTTTCTGGTAAAATTCGAGTTGCCATTTAGAATACCTTGTTTTTCTCTTTTCTTTCTTTTTTCTTAAAAAAAGATAATGCTGCCATTTGTATGTAGGCTCAATTATTAGCGGAATCGAGTTCTGTTTCGTGTGAAATTCCTGCGATATTTGTACTTGGGCTAGTTGAACACTTGAGCTGTATGATAAGGTTTGGGTCTTTATAGTAACAGTAATATGTGATCCATTTTAGCAGAGTGCTGTGCATTATGCATTGTGCTGTTCTACCTGCTTATGTGTTGGATAGGGATTTGGAAGGATAGGTTTGGATCGATCGGGCCCATCCATTGATGATCCCATGGACACCATATCGTTTCCCTCCTTTTTATGATTATAAAGCTCCATCCAATAAGCGACAAACTTAAGTCAAATGCCCCAATAAGGGACAGATTTAAGCATGAAATGTTACTTTCTGGGATTGCGCGTGCTTGCCCACCATTCATTTCAGAATGAACAAATCACTCAAATGTCCTTTTTTTTTCTCTGGCAAAATCTTGGCAAGAAAAGCGAGGAGTGAGAGTGCATTAGAACCAAATTGAATGGATTGTATAATCTTGGGATAAGAATATATAAGATGGTGTCAATTGATGATATAAAGAAGAGATGAGGCCAATCCAACATGCTTGGTGCTGTCCATCTCACCTTTCCCTGACTTTCACACGTCAGCAAATTCTATCTCCAGATGCTACCTTCCTCTCTAAGTAAAAATCCTCCTATTTTCCTCAGTCAATTAAGGTTAAACATGAGACAAACTAATAGAAGTAAAAACATATTTAACTAGTGTAATTCAACAAGAAAAACCAGAGAGGAAGCACTCAATGCAAACAAATCAATGTACTAAGATTAAATGTTGCAATCCAACCAAGCTGATCAACTACTCGTATATAAATTCATTGAGGGGAAAAAAATGTTCTTGCTTGTCTTATTCCGGGATCAACTTGATGATAGTGGTGTGCACTGTCTTCTAATCTTGCTGATATAGGTTTCAAGTGTAAAAAAAAAATGATGATGGCCTCTCCTTGACATGACAAAAAGCTTGAACAAAAAACTCTTTTGAACAGGGGAGCTAAGATCCTTGGGCGGAGGACAAGTATGTATCATAGTACATTACTACAGATGGTGCCGTGCATTATGTTGCAATTTGAACCGTACGTTGCACGATGTTCCACAGCACTTATCCCATCGATTTAACCTTTCTTGGGAGGAATGATGAGAAAGGCTCTAGCTTAACTGTGATCCTGGGAATTCATCCATCATACCACTACCTCCAGGAAAAGAAATTGACATCGGTATAACTCTAGCATTTTCAACATGGAGATAATTCTCGAATGAGTTAGTGGAATTCAACACCACTTATACCACTATGGTTAATTAACTAATTAAGGCCCTGCTATTTTCAGGTTATCCATCGGTTGTCATGGATTGCTTTGTTTCATGCTTTTCTTAAAGAAAAACTCTATTGCATTATTTTAGACTATTTGTTTTAAACTATTTATCCAGTTTATAATATATATAATATTTAATTTATCGTTATAATCTAGTAGATCATCCATCATATTTCATCTGCCAATAATCTAAAATGAACACTACCTAAGCACAAGAACAATATGTAGTATTTACTTTAAAAGATGTTATAAAAGTTATACTTAGTAAATGGTTGTATGCATGCCTAGTTGGTGTAGAAGCCGTAATCTATATATCTTCATTTCTTTAAAATTTTTTTGGAACCTCTCTGTATATGTTTGGAAATCCAAACTGAGTCGTCGATTTTGTTCCATAGAATTTCTATGAAAACTATTATGTGTATGAAAAATTAACTATTACGTGTATGAAATTTTTTATGCGTATGCCCTGATTGTCTTTTGGAGCATAATTTTATGTTAACTAACCAAATTACCCATTGGGGCACGCTAGACTTTTTTTTTTGAAGTAGAATTATATTTAACATACAACACTAACTTTGATTTCTTACAATAATCCTTTTGGCAGCAGTGAATTTACAATATTATAATGTGGATTAGACTCCCTGATGAACAACTGTATATACAAATCTCTCTTTTTCCTTGATACTAATTAACAAGGCATTTCATATGTATTGACAGTAAACTTGGTGGCTGGTTTTGGCCTTGTATAATAGATTAACCATTTCTCTTCTAGGCATTAAGTACTAATAAGCAAGAGAGAAATCTAAGAAGAACAATGATTTAAAATGGATAGTGGTGTACACCTTTTTGTGCGATAACGTTGGGTAGAATGTATACCACTAATAGCAAGATTGAGTGGTAGACCACACACGGCGACTACTTTGGCTTTAATTCCCTAATGACATGCCCCCACACTCCACACATCTCTCAAAAGAAAAAGGAAAAAAAAAGATCACTGTTGTTAGGCTCTAATCAGTAGCTGTAGATTGTTCATTATGTTGGCTTGTCGTTGCAAATTGCTAGTCCTCTCTTCTTTTTTATATTTTTCCGACATTGAAGCCAAACTAACTAAAAGTGCGAGTTGTTTAATTCGAAACCATATATATTGGCTATGCCAATTCTAGTTTGTTCTATACAAAACATAGTACTATTGTCTTGTTAGGACGTACTCCCTCCATTTTTATTCTTTGCTTAGATCAAAATTAAACTAATCAGCATCAAATATTTAGGGAAGGAGTAATATATAAACATGGCAAGTAACCATCAAATTCATATCACAGATACCATGAAAGACCAATAGGAAATATGAGTATGTAATTTTACCTTCCAGGATAATCAACTATTGGTTGCAATAATTAGCCATGAAAGACCAATAAGAAAGAAATATGAAGTCTTTCAAGATAGAAAAAAATTACACAAAATATGGTACCTCCCGATATATCCTCAATAACTGTAAAATCACTTTCAAGATAATCATCAAGATTAGTTGCTAGCGACGTTAGAATATATTAATCAACAAGAATTAGCTATAAGTATGCAAATTTTTCCTTCTGGCGGCAATGCTGTTGTTGCCACAGATGTTTTTTAGCAAATAGCTAGTCATGTAACTGACTTGTAATCCCCCTCTTCTTAATATAAGCTAGGCAAAATTTGCTGCATGCCACTCAAAATTTATAATCTTTGTAGGACACCACAAAACACATGGTAATTAACTATTGGACAATGAACATGTTATTTTATTATATTTGGTCTAAATAGAGAGAGAAATTTTTAGAAAAGACAAGTTTGCCCGTAGGATATGTTTCTTTTTAATAACCCTATTAGGTTTATTTCGAATTACCATGACTAGGGGAGTGAGAATGGACTACATCGACGGAGTGAGAATCGATTGGGTCTAGTTCGACCTAGACCAAGTCGTCTTACAAGCCAATGGATAAAAGGGCAAATTTATACTTTCCGCGTTGTTTCTCTCTCTATTTGCACCGGATATAATAAAAATAATGTGTTAAGTGTCCAGCAGATAATTACCATGTTTTCACGATATCCTGCAACCAATACATATTTTGTGGGTGTCCTACAGTAAAGACAATGAACTTTAAGTGTACTGTAGTAAATTTTGCCTTAATATAATGGCAGAGTTCCTGCCAAATGTTAATTTCAAAGAAAGTGTCTAGTTTACGTATGTCAACTGTGCACTTTTCAAAAGTTTTTCCAATAATGGCCTAGGAAAAAAATGTTTTTTCCAATATGTATGTAAAAAGAGTAGGTACATGAAAAACATATTAGATATGTTGTTAATTGAAAATAGTTTCAAAATATTGCACTACAAATTCACTATGCCTGTGCACAACTTATATTTCAAAATACTTGAAATAAAGTACATAATAAAATGGTAAAGTGTAGAACCTATATTTCAAAAGTCAAATACAAAGCTAACTTCAAGTCTTGATCAACACAAAATACTTTGATTTAACTCAGCTTTGCATGGATATCTCTTATTATCTCTATGTATATGATGCATGCAAGCTAGAATGTGGGCTGCATGCTTGCCCTGATCCTTTTTTTTTTGTCAATCATCAATAGAGAACAAGTTCTCTCATTCTTTTTTTCCTTTAGAAAAGAAGCAAGGATATTCTTAAGAATTGCAACATGTGAGTTAATAAGTAACATAGTTGCAGTTGCTAGCTAGCTATTGATCGTCTAGAAGGCGTCAAGAATCATGCAAGACATGTAAGGGGATCTCCATCTCATATGTGTTGACTTGTCTAAGACCATATTAGAGTGTCATCTCTCCACTGATTTGAAGGTAGGGAGGCCGGGGCGTTAGAACAATTGCAACAACACTCGCTAGAGAGCCACTGATTATTTTTTTTTAAAAAAAAAGATGCTCAAAACTATGCAGCTAATTGCATCTCTACATCAAGAGCAAATAAAACTCAAGGCTAACCCACTTACCAGACACGATTGCATCGGCCAACGGAGTCTAACATATGCTCTAGATGCACCATCACCTAATCAACTAATATGTAACATCTCCAATTTTTCAATATATAACGTTGTTTACTTCTTGATAAATGTTTGATCATTGGTATTATTCTTTTTTTTTGCAAATATAAAAAAATGAAGTCATGCTTAAAGAACATTGACGATAAATCAAGTCACAATAAAATAAATAAGTCGTTTTGGACAGCAACGCGGTCTCCAAAACACAATTTTGATTTCTTGTTTCTATAAAAATATTTATTAAAAAGTGATATATGTATACTTTTATGAATGTATTTTTCAAGACAAATCTATTCATATAATTTTTATATTTTCAAACTCAACAACTTGAGAGTTATTCATGATTTATATTCGCAAAGTTTGACTTAAACATTGTCCTAAATGACTTCCTTTATGAGTACGGAGGAAGTATTTGAATAAGATAAATGGTCAAACATATATATAAAAAAATCAACGGCGTCATATATTAAAAAATAAAGGAAATACTACGTAACACCAAATAAGGTGATGCACCAATACACCAAAAATCGCCAGACATGTGAGGCCTTTCCTGTACGTTCACCCTAAGTCATACAGAAGGCGAAAGATGAGAAGTGACACTTTGATTTGTTGTTGGTAGATATATCAAGATTGCTATACACTGATTGACAGGGCGGAACCAGGAGTAGGGCAGCTAGGGCTAGAGCCTTACTCCTGGTCCTAAATACCCATTGAAAGCACTCCAAATTTAAGAATTTAGAAAAAAAAAGAAAGTAAACCTATAAAAATTACATCAATTGAGCCCTACTCTTGAGAAATTTTTGGCTCCGCCACCACCCATTGTTACTATCTAACCCCGCGCATATCGTGAGCCGTTGTTGGTGCTTCTGAAACGTTGGAGACAGAGAGAGAAAAAAAAAGGTGATCTAGGACCTGTTAGTCGTGGCAGTGAGAGGCGACAAATGTGAAATCACCAACACTAGAAGCAGCAGAAGAAGAAGAATTCGAAGAAATGGGTTGTTGAACACGCATATGACAGCAACAATACTGCAGATAGTTGCAAATGGTCCTTGGAGGTATATACGACAAAGAGGCAAAGCAAACAAGCACGATATTGGGAAATAGAAGTGTCACATTGGGGAATTGAAGGGTCAGAAATGGCCGGGGCACGAGCCAGGCACGCTCAAATTAATTGCAGCCATCGATCGATCAATCCATGGATGCAGCATGCAGCGATGGATCGATCGCCATCATACTCTCCAGCTAGCTAGCTCGTCGATCGTTGCAATCATGGACCAATATAGATAGATCGATGTGCATTGCACTAGCTATAGCTTTTGCTAAGCTGCAGACATCACGGCGCACTGATGATGTGAGATGATATGATACAGACGGCAATGCACCTGGCACTTGGCACTTGGTTAATTCCACTCACTCATCACTTAATTTGCTAGCTAGTAGCTTATTTGTAGTCGATTGAGGTTTGCCAATTGTCCATGTCTGCTTGTCCTCTTCCTCCACCCTCTATATATATCCCAAGTGGCCACTACAGAGCCTCCATTATTAATCATAGCTAACAAGTATATCCTCTCTTCTTCTTCTTCCTCCTCACAACTCACAATATTTCAGAGTAGTATACCTTTCTTGCTAGCTAGCTAGCTTGTTCATCGATCTTGTTTTGAGGTGTTGAGATAGCTAGGATGGTGGTGAAGAAGGCGGCGACGATGGCGGAGGCGGAAGCGGAGGAGGAGATGATGATGAGGATGATGTGTGGTTCAGGAGGCAACGAGATGATGAAGACGAAGATGAAGAAGAAGAATAGAGAAGGGGAAGAAGAAGAAGAAGTAAGTGGAGGAGGTAGGATGAGGAAGGGGCCATGGACGGAGCAGGAGGACGTCCAACTGGTATGGTTCGTGCGCTTGTTCGGGGAACGTCGTTGGGATTTCTTAGCAAAGGTCTCAGGTTTGCGCGGTGGCGGGTGACCTAGCTACATGCACTGCATGCCTCCCTCTCTCTCTATATATATCTCCTTCCCATCAAACATCCATCCATCCATCGACTGCTTCTTTTTCTTTCTTTTTTTTTCTCTTCTTGATTGTTCTTGTTCTTGTTCTTCTTTCTCTCTCTCTTATCATGCAACACCCACACATGCATATATCCATCCATCCATCTATCCCCTTATCACATTTAATTTCTTCTTCATATATACCAATTTGGCAACAGCTAATGATTCTTTTTTTATTTGAAACTCTGAATGAATTGATTTAGATGCATGCATCAATACAAATAATTGATTTCTTTTTATCTGGAGCTCTGAAATTGATTTAGATATGCATATTGATAAAACAAAATTTGATATTCATCTGAAACTCTGAATTGGTTAAGATGCCTACACATAAATGTTCCATTTTCAGTTGTGGGGATCGATGTGATGGCTTTTACATATATGCATGCGTAAATTAACATGCGGTGTTGCATGATCGAAGTTAATTAATCTAGAGGCGGTCGATGATCGATGGATGATACAGTACTTAACTAGGAGATGGAGGCATGCATGCATGAGCTTAGAACGCACGGGAAACTGAGGTGTTAACCATCTGCTTCTTCTTCTTCTTCTTCTTCCTCCTCCTCTGGATGGCTGTCTCCCTGGCACATGTTGGCCTTGGTGGTTTCACCTTTCAGGTTTGAAGCGCACAGGCAAGAGCTGCCGTCTCCGGTGGGTGAACTACCTCCACCCCGGCCTCAAGCGCGGCCGCATCACCGCCGACGAGGAGCGCCTCATCCTCCACCTCCACTCCCAGTGGGGCAGCCGCTGGTCCCGCATCGCCCGCAGCCTCCCCGGCCGCACCGACAACGAGATCAAGAACTTCTGGCGAACCCACATGCGCAAGATCGCCCACCACGCCAAGAAGAAGACCAATTCACCATCGCCGGCGCCGACGACCTCCTCCGGTTCCTTGTCCTCCTCGCTCACCACGGCGACGACGACGATGGCGACGGCTGCGGCGCTGCAAGAAAGCAGCAGCTGCGGCGGCGACGACGAGGCCGTCGACCAGCTGGTGGCGGCGGCCACCACGCCGGCGAGCCAGCTGCTGACGATGGACTACACCATGGACCAGCTCTGGAACGACATCGCGGCGGCGGAAGCCGATACGAGCTGCTACGACGCGGCGGCGATGGCCTCGCCGCCGTCGCCGGTCTGGGAATTCTGCACCGACTACTCGCTGTGGAGGATCGACGACGAGGAGTACTACAAGAAGATGCTCGATGCCTCGCAATAGTACTACTCAAATTGCAAACAAGCAACGCCTTAATTCAATTGCTGCTCTTAGCTTAATTAGCTGACGATCGATCGACGACGACTCTCATCATCTGATGAACGAACTGCGAAATCTATATTTGCACTGCATATCCTTGCATCTGTCTACTGTAATTACACCTGATGATGCACGTATTATGCATTGCTTGTCAGACAACTCTGCTTTATATATATCTAGCTATAGCTTGATCAATCAGCATGCCTAGCTTGTGTACATGTAGGGGAGAGAGTATTAGTAGTTAAGACTGATGGGATCAAGTGCTATATGTATATTGCTTTAATTTCATGGTATATGTACTATGATTGTACTATGTGTCATATATTCAGTGTAAGCAGTGGTTTGCAATTAACCTGTTCTACCTCGTAAAAACCGGCCTTCTGTGACTGGTTTTAATTTGCTTGTATTGGTGCAGTGCTAATGAGGTTTTTCAGATGAGAGTGGACCCATTATTAAGTGCTTAACAGAGTTTGACATATTTGAAGAAGTAGAATTTCAATTGTACCAAAATACAGTCAAAAGTAGACTCATGCAATTAATATATTCTATTCCATTATCTAAAAATATATGAAGAGACCATATTCAAAGAAAATTATGTATATGAAGAGCTCATTCCAGGGACTTTTTTTTCCAGTGATTCACTAATTAATACTTTAACATCTCATAATTAAACTTCCCCTAATTTACATGAGGAGTTAATTCCAGGGTGGTTAGCTGTGCAAATTATGTTCGTCACCAAGCATCAAACAAGTACTCATGGTGCTGCCATATCAGATGACCTAGATATCATCTGAAACTTGGTTCTATATATCCCAAGAAATTAACACAAAAGAATCTTGACTCTCTCCCAACAACATTGAGAGCGCATATAGAGCATGCACAATATACAGAATCTTCACCCCCCAAAAAATTTTATATATTCCAAGATACCAGCAAGCAATCACAGTATAGCTAGTGCATGGCGGCAGTGGTTTCATGGGAATCTAATAATACAACTCTCTCCAAGCAACACACAAGTCAAGAGAGAGTAACTCAAAAAGATATATGCCAAGCTCAGATCAAGAGGCCATGAGCAGCAGGTTGAAATGGTAGGGAAGGAATTCAGAAGCCAGGGATAATACATCCATCCATTCATCACCATGCATCCCCAATATGCCATATATTGTGCATGTCCCTTTCCAGCTTTTCCTCACATCTAACTTTTCCATCCCTCCAATAGTTCAAACCACATCTCATACAGCTGTTTTTAATCTCACTGTCATTAGGAGAGTGGATTAATGGCTGATCTACACCGTCTATTGGGCTATGGGCACCAAAAATTGCTACGCGCACTAGCAAAAAAACTCGGTCGCTTATATATATATATATATATATATATATATATATATATATATATATATATATATATATATATATATATATATATATATATAAAATCTATCCTAACTAACGGCCGCAATATATATATTTATTTTCTCTTCTTTGGTGAATAATTAGTTCTAGTTTTTGAAGAATTGATCAGATAACATGTCTTCACATTGCAAATAATTAATTGTTAGTTATTAGAATATGGCATATATGACATTTACGGAGCCATCGTTTCGCTTGTTCGTGGAATAAGCGAAATGGTATAATAGCAAACGAAAAGTAATTTGTGAATAAAACTTTTATATATGTGTTCTTAGCGATCTAAAAGCAAATGTTGGAAAATAAACTTCGATGAAAAAAAATCTTAAAATCAACTCCAAATTTAAGGTTAAAAATTCAAATTTTGGTTGATAAATATAAGCATAAGCGAAAAGATAGTGCCCTTAAATTGAAAACCACAAAACCAAGCCCTATCTAGTTAGCCTAAAATCCAGTTAATTAATTTGCAACTCATGCTTAGAATTTTCTAAAATCCAAAATCTCACGCAGCAACACGCTGAGTTTCCACCTAGTAGTCATATCAAGAGCTAGCTTCCCTTTAAAATGCTCCACTGACAGAGTGTGTGTTACTGTTGACAACTCACTGAGAGGAATTTCATGCCCTATCCTATGAGTTTATTTTGTAGGTGTAGCTCTAGCATAACTCTCCACGGTTGATGCAACTTGCAAGAAAGGAAAAATGCCAAGTGGCTTTGGTGATAAGGGATGAATTGAATAAAAATTTATGGTGGGAAAGGTGGTGATAAGGAGGCAGGCCAAGGCCTTTCTTTTCTCCTTTTGCAATCACTTTATGCTCCTAATTCTGATTAACCTAGCATTATCTCTGTGATTTGTTTACACCACTAGTGGTTAACCACAATGGCATTAATTAGCTAGTGACAAAGTGTGTCAGTAACCCCACACAAGATCAGTGAGCTCACCTCCGTTAATTATGTTCCCCCACGGTCCACTGTTTTTTTTTTTTGGCTATCAAATTCTCCAATTATTTTGTGTTTTTTGAGAGTAACATCACATTGATATTTTCTGATGGCCCCTGGTAGAGAGAGCAAGAATCATGCCTGCCCTTGTTTCTCTCTTACCGGTACATCATAAAGTAGAGCTAGTGTTATTTTTTTTGTGGGAAGAAACATGTTACATAAAGCTGAATATTCTTGGCTTATTATTCATCAAATGTACACAGATTCTGTCAGTTGTTGCAGCTGAATAAATTCCCCCCCTACGCGTTTATAAACTTTTCATCCTCCATCGATGCTCTACTTTCTGTTACTGAAAGATGTGCGTGATGACCTTACTTGTACTAGTAGTATATATTGTTTTTTAAATAATGGTTGTGTTCGAAAGTCACAGCGCTATACCGCAAGTCTGCAATAACTGGATCAGCAATAGAGACACTGTTTAAGATGCTGCAGTCTTGCCACAATAACTGGCTTCCAAACAAAGGGTGTGTTTAGTTCCATGCTGAAATTAGAAGCTCGATTGAAATTGGAAATATATGACGAAAAAGTTGGAAGTTTATGTGTGTAGAAAAGTTTGATGTGACTTTTTTTTTTCAAACTTGGGAACTAAACACGGGCATAGCCAATAGAAACTAACTCCTATAATAAATTTATGATACAAGGAGACACGATATGGTATTGTCAGTATAGCTAGATATAGGAGTTTATTGCCCATGTTTCAGTTTTTATTTTTTTTTAACAAAAGGGATAATGATGGATCACACAGTCTACAACAGATACAGCTGACATCAGCGAGCAAATTAGAGGGTCCTTTTGATTCAAACAAATTAATTATCTCATCCTGGGTCTGTGGATAGCATAGTAAGATTAGATGCGTCAGTGAGCCATCGCTGCTAAAGCATAGTGGTCGATCAGGTCAGGTCATCTTATCTTTGCCGGTACGGTGTTGCCACATGCGCTTGAGATCAGATAACCATTTTATGCACTTACAACAGTATATATATATATATATAGAGAGAGAGGGGTCTAGATCATTTCTAGGCAGAAATCTATAGGAACATCAGCGCTTATCATACCTTCACATCCTATATTAATTAATTTGATCGGACCGAAAAGAGAGTTCATATCAGCTTATAAGAAAAATCGGACCTAAAATCATTCCACCTTCACAATTAATTTAAGAAAAATAAAAAAACTACAATAGAACCTGTTAGAGTTCTCTGTTAGATCACCTAGATTTAGATCTAGTCGGGTTGTCTCTATTGGGTTGATGAACGACATTGTAGATGAAAGGGAGAGGGTTTAGATACCGACCGATTGATGTGTTCGTGGAGGAAAGGGCGCCGGACATCGTCGTTGTCGTTGTGGCTCGACGTGGACAGCGGCGACGGTGTGCTTGGTGCCGATGGCGGTGATGCAGCGGCGGTCGCAGGCAGTGACGCGGTTGCGGCAGCAATGGTGTCGACGACGAGGCGTGGCGCGGCGGTGGACTTCCCGTCACTGGCTACGCCCCCCTCGAGATCGGTTTAGGGTTTGTGGGGTGGAGCGGCGGCGGCGACGAACCTCGTCTATAGTGCCGCCCCGTCCTCCACCCCTTTTTATATGGCATAGGGTGACAGGGGCCCACCAGTCATTGGGCTGGGCGCCCCCGATCAAGGCGCGGGTCAAGGCCCCCTTGAGCCGTTGGGCTCAAGGGGAGGGAGATCCATCTAACATTCTCCCCCTTAATCTCACTATTTCTTTTAGCTTTTTCTAATCCATCACAGATTTACATATAGAGCATGTTTCATCGTCACGGTTAATTACTGATGGATTCGACAGCTACTATACACATCTCTATTCAGAAACAGATACTTTTAACTTTTGGGCCCTATAGTCTAGGATTCATAAGGCTTCCCTTAAACCCATGCATGCTACATGTTCCTTGAACATGTTGGGAGGTAGGCCTTTCGTGAGCGGATCCGCGAGCATCCTTTCTGTTCTAATGTGCTCGAGACTGATTGTTTGATCCCGGACTTTGTCTTTCACAACATAGTACTTTATGTCAATGTGTTTGGCAGCACCACTTGACTGATAGTTGTGAGAGTACATTACTGTGGGTTCATTATCACAGTATAACTTTAGTGGTTTCTCAATACTGTCAACCACCTTTAAACCGGGTATAAACTTCTTTAGCCAGTTCACCTGCCCCGTTGCCTCATAGCATGCTATAAACTCGGCATACATAGTAGACCCTGCAGTGGTGATCTGTTTTGAGCTTTTCCATGAAATAGCTCCTACTGCCAAGGTGAACACGTATCCCGATGTTAACTTTGTATTATCTTTTGCAAAGTCAAAATCTGAATACCCCACTATCTGGAGCGATTCTGATTTTCTGTAAGACAGCATGAGGCCTTTTGTTCCTTGCAAATAACGCAAGACTTTCTATACCAATTTCCAGTGCTCTGGGCCTGGATTACTCTGAAATCTACCAAGTAACCCGGTAACAAATGCCAAGTCAGGTTGTGTGCACACTTGCGCATACTGTAGGCTTCTTACAACTGATGCATATGGCTTTGTTTTCATTTCATTGAGCTCATACTGATTTCTAGGACATTGCGCCCCATACTTTTCGCCTTTCACTATAGGAGCAGGTGTAGCACTGCATCTGTACATGTTGAATTTCTTCAACACCTTTTCTATATATGCCTTTTGAGAAAGTCCCAATGCATACTATGTTCTATCTCGGTGAATCTCTATGCCCAAAACATATGAAGCCTCACCGAGGTCTTTCATGTCAAACTTTGAGGACAAGAATTTCTTTGTTTCCTGCAGTAGACTGACATCACTACTAGCCAGTAGAATGTCATCTACATACATAATTAGGAAAATGAATCTCCCATTCTTAACTTTGAATCAATACAGTTGTCCTCGATATTCTCTTGAAAACCCAAAATTTCTTTATTGTCCCATCAAACTTCAAGTACCACTGTCTCGAAGCTTGTTCTAATCCATAAATGGATCTCTTTAGATGACATCCCATATTTTTGTTTCCTTTCATGACGAAACCTTTCAGTTGTGCCATGTATACTTTTCCTCCAAATCTCCATTTAGAAATGTCGTTTTTACATCCAACTGATGTAATTCTAAATCATAATGTGCCACCAGTGCCATTATAATTCTGAAGGAAACTTTACAAGAGACTGAAGAAAATGTCTCATTGTAATCAATCCCTTCTCTTTTGCGTGAAGCCTTTTGCCACAAGTCGCACTTTAAACTTTTCTATATTCCCTCTGGAGTCATATTTGGCTTTGTAGACCCATTTACAGCCTACTGTTTTGGCTCCTTTAGGAATTTCTTCTAAATCCCAGACACCATTTAATTTCATTGATTTCATTTCATCTTTCATGGCTTCCAACCATTCAGATGAGCGAGCGCTTCTCATGGCTTCTTCATATGAGGTGGGATCATCCTCCATATGCGACTCTTCTATATTATAAACTTGATAGTCATCACGGATAACCGATCTTCTGACTCTTTCAGGCCTTCTAGGGGTCTCCTATTCTGGCACATTATCTGTTTGAGGCTGTTGCAGCTCCTCCTCTGGTGTGGCAATAATTTCTGTTGAATCCTGTAAAACAAGTTCCTCACTTTCATTCATTGTTGCCACAGGAGAGATAACAACAGGTGTTGGTACTGCAACATCATGCATTGCAAGCACAACATTAACAGGTAGAGAGAAGAAGGCTCTTGAATCGACTGAGAGGGCTCAGACACCCACCTCTCATCAAGATCAATTTCTCGAACTACCGAGCTCCCCCTAATCATTTCGTCTTCCAAGAAGACGGCATGTCTCGTTTCTACAAACTTTGTATAACTGTTTGGACAGTAGAAACAATAACCCTTTGATCTTTCAGGATAGCCAATAAAATGGCAGCTGACTGTTTTGGGGTCCAACTTCCCAATATTTGGGTTAAATACTTTAACCTCTGCAGGACTCCCCCACACACGGAGGATCCATAGCTCATACGGTGTTTTGGGCACCGATGCATTGTATGCATTGTTCTAAAACTGAGAACTCCAATGGAGGAAGAATTACATTCTTAACCAGTCTCTCAATTCTCCCCCTCGAAATATGGCCTAAACGACAATGCCATAATTTCGATGAGACATCAGGAGTTCGCTTTCTTTTCTTTTGTCAACGAGGACACAACATTCACATTCTCAGAAAGAGATAACAAGTAAAGCTGATTTTGCAACAGAGCAAGACCAACACATGCATTATTATACCATAGTTCACATTTTCCATTTCCAAAATGGCAATCATATCCATCAAAATCCAATTTGGGTACACTTATTTCTTTGCAAAGAAGGGACATAAAAAACATCTCGAAATAAAAGTGTGAAGCCATTCGCGAGCTCTAGGCAAAGATCTCCAGCAACTTCAACTTTTGCTTCAACTCCATTGGCAACTCTAATGGATCTTTCGCTTCTTTGCATAGTCCTCATTGAACGGAATCCCTTTAAACAATTACACATATGAATAGTTGCTCTAGAATCAATCCACCATGTGGATCTATAATAACTAATCATAATGAGATTCATTTACAAATGTAATAATGTTCTCACCTTTTTTTGCCATGATCACTATCAGGAAGTCAGGATGATCTTTCTTGGAATGTCTTGTCTTCTTGCAGTGGAGACACTAATCCTGTCTCAACTGTGAACTGTTGTTGTTGAGGCAGATACTGAGGCTGTTTTGCTTTTGAGGAGGGTGACCTGTGGCTCTTTTCCTTGATATCTTTAACAAGGTTAATGGAGTCACCATTGGTCTCTTTGATTCTTTCCTCCTCTTGAACCACCATTGATCTCTTTGATTCTTTCCTCCTCTTGCACACAATTAGAGATGAGCTCTTCAAGATTCCATTTTTCTGGACTTATTTTGTAATTGACAACAAAGTTGTCAAAATGCTTTGGCAATGAGGTTATAACCAGATGGACCAGAAAGTCATCTGAGATGCCCAAATCTTTTTGCTTCAACTTGGAAGCCATGTTGCTCATCCTAAGAATGTAGTCTTTTACACCATCACCATGGTACCTCTCTGTCACAAGCTGCTTTATTAGCTGTGTCGCATAAAACTTTGAAGAACCAGTAAACTGGCTCTTTATACTCTCGAGGTACTTAGAGACGGTGTCATACTCTGGGATTGAGCCCAATATGGTTGGCTCAATCATGTTCTTTACCGCAGCCAAACAGTTCTTGTTGGCTGAGGACCATTTCGCATGCTCAATGTCATACGACATGATGAGGGAAGCATTGTCCCTCTCTCTCTTTTGCCATTCAGCATCTAACTCTTTTTCACCTTTGAAAAGTTTAGCAGGTTCTACAGGACATGGGGTAGTCAACACCCAGTCCACCTCTCCCAAGATAAAAGCAAGGTCGAGTTCTCTTTTCTATTCTCCGTAGTTATCTCCTGTCAGGGTCAGAATATCTTTAATGTAACCCATCAAGGAGTAGCCACCTGAGATAATCATGTATTGTGAGAACAAAATTAACATTAAAATATTATGTATTAAGTCTACATCACCGTTGGGCAGAAAATAGACATAACACATAGAGCCATAACTATAACATTGCAATTTATCAACGTTGGTCAGAAAATTACAACATCATAGCACATAATTAATGTTCCTAAAATTAAATTCTCCCGTTGGTTCGAAATTTAATTTTAGAAACACTAATTTTTCATCAATTTCATCTATTTGCAGCGGAAGATCTATATACAATTCATATAAACAGTAACAACACTCTGTTATTTACTCTCTGTAAAAATTCTCCCGTTGGTTCAAATTTAAACAGAGGTAAAACATGCAAAAACAATTCAAAATTCTATTGTAATTTGCATGAAAATATACAAAATACATGTTCAGAAGCATTTCTCACATTTATCTATTCTCTAAACAATTTTCACGTTGAAGAAATAAACACATTTAATAACTATAATTGTAAATGCTTCTGAAACAGGGACCTAGACCGAACTTCTTTTCTTTTGATTCGGCCCCAAGGGACCTAATATAGACTTATTTAGGCGCAGCCGGTCGGCCCACGGCCGGCTTTCGCGCGCGCGGTTGCCCCCTCCCCCCAGGCTGCAACCTGGGCCTGGGCTGAGAAAGGAGCCCCCGGCGCGCGCCCTCTTGGGCCAAAATCAGCCCAGCCATCGCCGGCCGTCCGATCTTAGGTTTTCGATCGGACGGCCGGGCACCTCTTTCGGGGTAACAAAAACCCCAAGCCGCCAAAGACGCCGTCCGAAACCCTAGCCGCTTGCTGGCCGGAACCCTAGCCACGGCGGCACGGCACGGCGGCAGGGCGGCACGGCGCGGCGGCGCCGTCGCACCCCCCTTTGCCGGCGCGCGCACTCACCCGAGAGTGAGTGCGCCGCCGTCGAGCGGCTGTGCAGCGGCGCCCGGCAAGCCGGCGGCGCGGCGCCGCCCCCTCTTTTCTCTCCCGCGTCGGCGTGAGGACGACCGGTGGTGGCATGACTCCCGCGCGCGTCGGCGGCGGCCGGCGGCGGCGGTAGGTGAGTCTTTTCTTTTCGACCCGTGCGGATCGTGTGCTGTTCTTTCTTTTGCTCTTTTCCGGGGATCAATTCCCCTCTTCTTTTTATTTGGATTTCTATCCCCGAACCGATCTAAGCCCTAGGGTTGGTCTGATACCATTGTTAGAGTTCTCTGTTGGATCACCTAGGTTTAGATCTAGTCGGGTTGTCTCTATTGGGTTGATGAACGACATTGTAGATGAAAGGGAGAGGGTTTAGATACCGACCGGTTGAGGTGTTCGTGGAGGAAAGGGCGCCGGACATCGTCGCTGTCGTTGCGGCTCGACGTGGACGGCGGCGACGGTGTGCTTGGTGCCAATGGCGGTGATGCAGCAGCGGTCGCAGGCAGTGACGCGGTTGCGGCAGCGATGGTGTCGACGACGAGGCGTGGCGCGGCGGTGGACTTCCCGTCACTGGCTACGCCCCCCTCGAGATCGGTTTAGGGTTTGTGGGGTGGAGCGGCGGCGGCGACGAACCTCGTCTCTAGTGCCGCCCCGTCCTCCACCCCTTTTTATATGGCACAGGGTGACGGGGGCCCACCAGCCATTGGGCTGGGCGCCCCCGATTAGGGCGCGGGTCAAGGCCCCCTTGAGCCGTTGGACTCAAGGGGAGGGAGATCCATCTAACAGAACCATTACTGAGACCTGACATAAGTTATTGTTGCCAAGCTTATCATAAAACTCACAAGCAACTTCAACTTCTGGATGAATTAATTTTTGTTGAAATTTGAAGGGACACCAATGAAATTTAGCAGCAACAGTGTCGTCTTGCATATAAGTCATGGCCATGTGGAAAATTCAGAGATTGGCAGCACTGAAAGGAGAACTCTCTTTTTTTGCTGCAACTACTCCTGGGTTTATGATCGCTTATTTTCCCGCATTTTTTACAAAACTACTGGTGGTATAGTCTAATAGAGAAAGTTACACCTCTTCAAAACAGTAACAATTTTATATTTTTCTGAATATTTTATCATTATTCATGAACGTAATAATGTGGATTGCACCGACCCTGAACTCCACCTGGGCCAGATGTGTAATGAAACGAGTGGCTACATAGCAATGAAGGAATAAGTTCATTTTAGGTCCCTCATCTTTACGTCGGATATGAATTACATCCTTCAACCGCAATACCAGATATAACTTTTGCAAAACCGGTGTACTCGAGATCCCAGTACATACAATACAATACCATGTTTTAGCTGCGTGACGAGTAGGACCCACGTGTCAGCGACCAACGTAACTCTTCTTCCTCCCCTCTTCCCTTTCTTCCCCATCCCTCTTCAGGCGCGATTCAAGGATGATCAAGTTTGTTTCTGATCGTGGGATGGCGCGATTCAAAGATCTAGTAGATGTTTAATCGGTCTCACTTATATATGTATATACATATATATATATATATATATAACTGACACTCTCTAGCGGAGGAGAATGAAAGGGGAAGAAAAAAAACGCCTTCTTTGGTTGTTCCTGATCTGTTCTTCAGTCTTGTGAAGATTGTTTCTTCAGTTTACTGTTCACTGTAGAGAGAGTTTCAGGTTTCAGAGTTAAGCGAGAGTGCGAGTTGCGAGCGATTGCCGCTCTACCGGTGAAGCTGCAGAGGCAAATCGATCTCCTCGCTCGCTGCAAGTGCAGTACAACGAGATGATGGAGAGGAGCCTCCGCTAGATGATTATTCCATCAATACTCTCTCTCCATTTTTTGTGATTTGTTCCATTGATTCAGATTCATACGCAGCAGCTAAAACACACAGAAAATACTTGCAGAGGAGACAAATCAATACCTTTTTTCCTTTTTGCCTCCCTTTCTTTCAATTGAGTTGGATTTTGGTTTGGTTCAATGGTTGACACTTGATATCTGTAAATAAGTTATTTTTAGGAGAAGTATCTTAAATAAGTAAATTTTTGCATTTGAGGCATCTTCGACGCGAATGAGAACATTCAGTTGCCGCAAGCGCCATCGCATCACCGAGCCGCCCCCATCGATGCGTCTAGGGGAGTACTATCAGATGACCTAATTTAACCTGGTTTTGTAAGTTTGGGTTTTTGGTAAATATGAGAGACCAAAAGTGAACTTATTGCAAGCCTGAATGATATATTACTTGGGCCGGATTAAGTTGCTGTTATCAAGTCTGTCAAAATTGTATGATTTAGGCCTTTATAAAAATTAAGACCCAAATTGTAAGAAGCATTAGTTCCTCTTGCTAAGGCCCAAACCAACTACAGATCATGCAATCCACATCCAGATGAGAAAACATACACACTCGAATTTAGGCCCAACTTGAATTTTGTTATTTCTTTCTTTTTTCATGTAATGGAGTTTTTCTTCTTTCTTTGAAGAGAGAGAGAGAGGTGGAAAGGTCTAAAAATGGGCCATGAGAGAGAGAGACAGAGAGAGAGAGAGAGAGAGAGAGAGAGAGAGGTGGAAAGGTCTAAAAATGGGCCATGGTGGTAGGTGTGTGTGAAGGAAGTATTTTTCCCCAGCTACAGTTTGGTCGATATGTACTTTTTAACGAACTTTTGCAAAAGTGAGATGGCTTTTAGGAGTGACGAGTTGAGTCGAGAGTACTAGTACAAAGATGCTTGACGCATATGCTATATTATGCATGATTGGAAATAGAAAAGCATGATCTTTTTTTTCTCAGAATATCGAAAAATCTGATCATATGATCGGGAGTTTATCAGATTTTATAAAACTAGCAAAATATCCGTGTGTGTGTTGTAGCTAACTCTAGTTATATTACTAGTTATATTAGATGAGTTTACTAAAACAAAATTATCGCTCAAATTCTGATTATCTAATGATAATTAATAAGATAAATATAATGTTGTACCGTATACATGAAGCAAATTAATAGAGCTTCTCACTCCAAGATACTCTCTCTTCTAAATTATAAGGCCTATATTTTTTACACAGTTTTCAATAGTATACTTTGATCAGTATTTTATTTCATTCTATGATCCTAACAAATATGAAATTAGTATCATATGAAAGTATTTTAAAATATGAATCTAATGATATAACATGTATAATACTTAGTATAGTTATAATTAGTATGATTATTAGTAAAAAAAAACTACCGAGTTTAATTTTTCTTAAAAAGATGACGGGCGCCTTATGTATAATTTGGGACGGAGGGAGTAGTATAGTTAAGCTAGCGAGTGTAGTAGCTGTCAGTTTAAAGTTTTGACCCGGTCGGTTCTTTTTACCTGTTTATCTATCGACCTCGATGTGGACGGATGGAGACATAGTCCTTTACCTGACGTGAGACAACGCTACCACGTACACTACGCTCCGCTACCGATCAGAATCTTAGGGCTTGTTCAGGGAGCTTCTGACAATCAGAATTTCTCTCACAACTAAAAACTCCCCTAAACAACAATTTAGCTTAATTTTTCATATTCCGAGAATTTATTATTGTAGTTGAAGAATTTAAAAAATGGACTAAAAACCAAAGATTTCCACTTTGCTTGTCAGTCAGTTGTCTTAGAATTTAGATGGTCATAAATAAGATCTGAAGAGCTAGCTCCATAAGGTGTTGGGCTAAACGATTTGGGTTCGAAGTCTCACCCCTTCTAAGTATTTTGATATTAGGTCATTCCTTAATATTTGCGTCTATTAGAACTGAAGAAGCAGATGCACTCTAGCTTAGTCGTAATTTTGAAATTTTGACTATAACTTATTCTAAATGATAAATATTTTTGAACGAAAGGAGGAGAATATAAAAGTAAGCTAGGACGTGCTGCGATGTTTCTATAGAGAATGCATCTGCGCGCGCGTACTACGTGGGTAAAGCAGGGCCGTGTGTTGAGAGAATTTTCAGTACACAGTAGACAAAAACCCATGGAGTATATATATACACCGATCGACAATTAATTAATAGACCATGACAACCGTTGGCATGAGCACGCGATAGATCGATGGAGTTTATATGTTATGATCAATGCAGTGGTAGTACATACATACAACCTGACAGACCACGACACATGTAAAATCAACTAATCAACCAGTGTACATGCATGTACATGGTTGTACTATACTCCCTCCGTAAAAAAAAAATCCTTAACTTGAAAACCCTTCTAGTTCAGGTTCATTAATATTATTATAGGGGAGTTTGTTTTTTTTTAACGGTGGGAGTATGTACTATCCACCATGTTTAACAAATTAAAAGTATCTAGGTGAGTATGCAGGTTGGTGAGAGTCTGAAAAATCTTTGTTTCTCAATTTCTATTTCTAATTTCTAGTTTATTTTTTAAGATTACGTAACTACATCGATTTTTACAAATCCTTAAGAGAATTTAAGTGCTGATCGAAGTTGTCCAGAGAATTTAGAGATTTTGAAGAAAAAAATAGTTGTAGCTTTCATAACAGGGTTATTGTCAGACATCATCGTCACATATTCCTACATATATTTACATATATATGTATATATATATACGTCATATCATCGACTGATCTCGAGTCCATACCGGCCATTCCAAATGCATGTGGTCCTCATCTCTAAAATGTGCTGCTCATCCATCCAAGTCGCTCAATATTCATTAACCTATAGATACCTTGGCTACATGCATGCATGCGTGCTAGCAGCTTTTAATTCAGGTGAGAATAATTAACGTATATATCTATATGATCCGGATATGTGCTTGGCTGTTTTTTTTTTTCAAACGTATAAAATGATTGCATGTCAGTATATATTAGAAGAAAGCAAAGTTTCGATTATGTAACACAAATGGCTAGAAGGCTATTGCCGGATGACAAGATCTTGTAAGAAACTACTTAAAGAAAATAAAAACTCATATAACGAGAGAGTGCAGGTGAAGCCCCATTAAACACCAACAAGCTAGCACCCCCAAAAAAAACAAATAAAAACATTGCTATAGTGCTTTCTTGCTTGGCTGTTCGAATTTAATTACTCTCTCCGTTCTAAAATATAACAACCTGGTTGCTACTATTAGACATAACTTTAATATTACAAATATGAACAGACTTTGCTATACTAGATTATTATATTTTAGGAAGAGGAGTATATAAATTCTATTCGTGCAACGCACGTGGCCTATGACGCACACACATGGATACAGCATCATACGTACATTATCAAGTGAGGATATGCGCGTATGTACTCTTATATACACATTCAAGGGACGGAAACTAAAGATAAATTCAATTTCTGAGCTTATATTAACTACTAATTTTGTACTGAAAATTCACTCGTGTGTGGATAACTATTGGCACAAAAATTAATGAAAAGAACTTATAATCATGATCACTAGATACAGTCTGCGCTGACAACTCTACCATCACAACCTTAATAATTAGCGATTGGAACTTAATTTTTTTAATTTCAAACAAATGTTAGTTCCGATCATTATCTAAACATTTAAAAAACATTCCTTTTTAAATAAGGAATTAAGAGAGAGATGATGATTACATACGGATAAAAACATTAATTAGTTTCGACAGACGATCGAGTGCGACGTACGTGCGCCCCCGTCATGTATTCTTTAGGCATCAATGCAGCAAGAATAATTCAGCGTATAATTGAAATATTATTTTTGCTAATTAATTGACGCAGACCGAATTGAAATGTATGCATATGCATAATATGATATGAATGGTATACGTACGCACATACTATACGTACGTACATTTACAACGTATAGTACGTATATATATACACAGTGCAATGTGGTCCAGTAGACAGGGCGACGTGCAGGGGATCGTGAGAAAGCAAGGAATAATTAATGATTAGTCGATGTGACACCTTATCCAAGAACTAAATGCATGTGTACATTATACACAGCTATATATAATATTGTACCGATATTTTGTTGTTGTAATATAATTTGTCATTAATTTGGCTGCAGATATATGCAACAAGAGTCTCTGTGATGGATGTGTATGTGTATAGCTAGGCATACTAGCTAGCCGGTCAACATATCTCTCTGTATGTAACATGCACTCGATCGCACGAGTAGATGAGAATGTGCGAAATATATGTGTGATTGTAAGTTATCCGTCATTAAATAAATAATTAATTAATATATATTTTTCCTAGGACAAACCATGTGAGGCAAGAAGCTGGGTACAGATCTAAAACGATTGTGTTAGTACAAGAAAATCAAAAGCACGACCACTTTAATTATAAGAGACAAGGGGAGAAAAGTAGTGATAAAGCGAAAGGAAAAAGGGTGAGGGGGGGGGGGGGGGTGGGGTCTGACTAGCGACGCTCACGAATTCCTGAATCGATTGCAGATCAAAAATACCCAACTTAACAAGCGTAAAACAATGGAAAATTACAAAAATCACCATCATATATTATTTGAAGTTTGATATTTTACCCATAAATATCATTATGTTATAAATACCCACCCCTTACATAACTTTATTGCAAAAATCATCCCAGTGCACACGTGTGCTTAACCGAATCATCCCAGTAATTATAAGATGGTTGCTAATACATTTGAGAAAATATTTGCGTGCATGGTAAATGTATAAGTTCACTTGACTTATAGTCCAATTGTATTTTTAATGTATTTGTAAAGTCTTTTATCTTTATAAATATAATTCTGTAACATGGTCAAACCTCATGCAATTGTATGTTAAATAAAAGTTGGTTTGAAAATAGAATAGTAGTACTAGTGTTTAACACATAATTCATTATAAAAGCTAACACTCAATCTTAATCTAGCTAGATCCACCACGGCAATGGTTTATATATCTTCTTTTACAATGGGTCCGGTCGCCAGTTAACGATCATATTCATATACATGTTATAAGACATTTTGACTTTTTCTACTTAAACTTATTTAAGATTGATCAAGTTTATAGAAAAATATATTACTAGTATTTTTAAGACAAAACAAACATATTATCATAACATATTCAATGTTAGATTTATTGAAACTCATTTAATGTCATAGATTTTGGCTAATGTTTCTATAAACTAGGAAAAAATATGACTATAAAAAAGGTAAGACAACTTATAATATGAAGCGGTGGGAGTGTATAGTCAATAAACCACCATGGTTTTATGGCAGGAAAGTTTATCCCAATGCTCTTATTTTTATGTTGTTGTACTTATTGAGTTACATTTGCGGTTTATTTATCTTAGTTTTCACAACAATAGTCAGTAAAAAATGCTCTAGGGATCATGCATGGTAGCTAGTGTAGTAATTAGTACATTTATGCATGCATGCATCCATGTATATATGTTGATTAGGGACATGTGTATTGCAAAGAATTGAGTTTCATTTTTCCTATCTTGGATGGAGACCTGCATGGCCTCTGGTCTAGGCCACAAGGAACACAATGCAAGCATGCATCCACAACTTGCACATCCATTGGGATCTAGCTTCTTTAATTGGAGCATGATGTGTATAAGACCAAAAGTCTCGCATCCTAATTAGCCTACGAAGCTAACTCTATATATACCCAGCTTGGCCATATATGACTGATTTGAACACGGTTTTGACAAAATCTTCAATAAAATTGTGATCTATCAAGATTCAGAAGCACTATATAAAACAAATTAGACTATGAACGGC